TGACAAAAGATGCATTTGCCAGACAATGGTACATTATGCTTTGTGATTCTGGCACTCCTCCAGAGAGGTCATCACACATACCATGCTCATTGGAAGTTCCTGAGTGAACTGGAGACTTTCAAAAAAGGTGCTGATAGACTTTAAAGACAAGGGCGAAACCATTCTGTAGGCTCCGGCGTTTGAGTCACGAATGTTGATTTGAATTTGAGACTTGACCAAAACAGAAGCGGGAGGAATTCATTCCGCGAAAAGGCGGTAGTTCGGTCGATGGAAAAAGGCCTTGCTGCTCTTAGAAATCACTTCCCCGTGATTGAATTCATAACAAAACTCACTCCCAATAGATTTATAAACGCACTGAGTACTTATCCCGAAAACTTGACCCAGTCGCGATCTTAGAGTGCTTTCTGGCACTCACCATCTTAGATTGCTTTCTGGCACTCACTATCTTAGAGTGCTTTCTGGCACTCACCATCTTAGAGTACTTTTGGCACTCACCATCTTGGAATGCTTTCTGGCACCCACCATCTTAGAGTGCTTTCTGGCACTCACTATCTTAGAGTGCTTTCTGGCACTCACCATCTTAGAGTGCTTTCTGACACTCAAAATCTTAGAGTGCTTTCTGGCACTCACCATCTTAGAGTACTTTCTGGCACTCACCATCTCAGAGTACTTTCTGGCACTCACCATCTTAGAGTGCTTTCTGGCACTCACCATCTTAGAGTGCTTTCTGGCACTCACCATCTCAGATTACTTTCTGGCACTCACCATCTTAGAGTACTTTTTGGCAGTTACCATCTTAGAGTACTTTCTGGCACTCACCATCTCAGATTACTTTCTGGCAGTCACTATCTTCGAGTGCTTTCTGGCACTCACCATCTTAGAGTGCTTTCTGACACTCAACATCTTAGAGTGCTTTCTGGCACTCACCATCTTAGAGTGTTTTCTGGCATTCACTATCTTAGAGTGCTTCCTGGCACTCACCATCTTAGAGTGCTTTCTGGCACTCACTATCTTAGAGTGCTTTCTGGCATTCACTATCTTAGAGTGCTTCCTGGCACTCACCATCTTAGAGTGCTTTCTGGCACTCACTATCTTAGAGTGCTTTATGGCACTCACCATCTTAGAGTGCTTCCTGGCAGTCACGACTTCCTTGCCAAACGGCTGGGTCAAGAAGTTCAAGCTTCAACCTCTCTATCAATCATAGGTATCTCACTGCCGTGACTGTCCTGACTTGAGAAAAAATGAACACATTTGGAAAGAGATCTCACTGCCTTGACTGTCCTGACTTGAGAAAAAATGAACACCCTTGGAACGAGATGCCTAAGAAAAGCCGCAAATTTAATCGCCCGAGACAGAGTCAGAGATGATATTTTCAGACAGACTGTGGGAACAACAAGATGCGGCAAATTAATTGAGAAACAGAGGATTATTTAGTTTGGTCATCTAGTATGAATTCAGCCGGAACAACTAGGAACAAGGCGCTACACGTGAAATGATCTGATGTTAAAGGAAGAAGTTGCCATAGGAAAATATGGACTGATGACATTAAAGATCTTCCACATTGACACGGAATGACATAGCCAATGCTGTCCATCAAGCAAAAGATTTCAGTCTGTTAAACCCAACGTCGCTTAACGGCAGAAGTGGAAACTGATTGATGATGACTACCTTGACTGATGATTGCATGCAAAATTAATCGCCTAATGTAATGTCAAGTTCCCGGAAAACAAGACAGAGCCAGACCTCCACGAAGGTCAATTCAAGAAACTGAAGAAGCATTGGCTATGAAAACATATTGGGCTAGAGAAACAAAGACTTCCAGGCGTGTCGTGAAGAACGCCACGTTCGGCAACCTACTGATTGATGACGATGTGCAGTTGAAGGGGTCCCAGGGATTTGCTCCTGCTAGATTCTCATCCGAATACTTTGCGTGCGTCCCCAGAAGGATAAGAAAGTCCATTCTTCCATTTGCCACTGTGCGTGACCAGGCCACAGTTAGCGCCGTTTGCTGACACTGATAAAGGGCCGTAATCTCACCTTTCACGCCAAGGGACGTAACGTGAGAGTCTGATGAAGATGTACAGTTGAAGGGGGTCCCAGGGATTTGCTCTCGTATTTTCTTCTTTGTCTGAATTATTTTCTTTTTGCTTTAGAATCTTGACTGCAATTTTTTTTTTTCCGCCTAAATTAATGCATCTTAAAAATGTTTTTTTTTAATTTTTCAAATTTGTATATAAAAAATAACGTTGATATTTGAACTCTTGGTAGTAGAACCTCACTTAACGAGCACCTATCATAACGAGTAATTCAATCCAGTTTCGTCCTTTTTAGGACGAAATTTTTTGTTGTTTGAAGCCCCACCCTGGCTTTTGCCAGGGGCCGCAATATAGGCAGGCTATAAATATGGCCAGATGTCTGAACGCGGTTTCTGGGACCTCTCCACGGCGATCCTCATCCGCATGGTGGCACTTTGTGTCATCGGGTGTTTATCGCTTGTGTGATGTCCTGGTGGTGTAGAAAGTCAGTCAGTCAGTCAACGAGTAATTGCATATTCTTTACGTCCTTCTTAAGACGTAATTTTTGTTATTTGAATCCCCACTCTGGCTTTTGCCAGGGGCCGCAATATAGGCAGGCCATCAATATGGCCAATTGTCTGAACGCGGTTTCTGGGACCTCTCCACGGTGATCATCATCCGCATGGTGGCACTTTGTGTCATCGGGTGCTTATCGCTTGTGTGATGTTCTGATGGGGTAGAAAGTCAGTCAGTCAACGAGTAATTCTATAACATTCCGAAGCCAAGAGCCGCAATACAGGCAGGCCATAAATATGGCCAATTGTCTGAACGCGGTTTCTGTGACCTCTCCATGGTGATCCTCATCCACATGGTGGCACTTTGTGTCATCGGGTGTTTATCGCTTGTGTGATGTCTTAGTGGTGTAGACAGTCAGTCAGTCAGACGAGTAATTTGCATAACGAGCAAAACAAATTGTAAAAGAATGACTTGCTTAACGAGCGACGTTTCGCATAACGAGAGGAGAGGGGAAGTCCCGGATGGTGCGCATGTTACATCAGTATGTGTTTAGCACTCGTTCCAGTCGCATCGTAGTGTCACTTGTGATCACACATTTTCTCAAACTTGTGTTATATTGTGATATATGTATATGAATCCCCCAGGCCTACAATTTAACCTCCCTAAAGAATGTTATGAGTTCATTAAGATCTAATTTCTGCCTCCCAACACCACACCGTTACTCCAGCCCATGGACCAGCAAGTTATTTCTAACTTTAAGAAGCTCTACACTAAAGCACTCTTCGAGCATTGTTTTCAGGTAACTGAAGGGACCAACCTCACTCTCAGAGAGTTTTGGAAAAATCACTTCCACATCGTTGCCTGCCTCAAGATGATCGATAAGGCGGGGGAAGGGGTTACGAAGAGAATCCTAACTTCGGAGAGCGTTGTCGATTTGTGACTTTGAGGGGTTCGAGACAGTACCTGTGGAACCTGTAGTCAACGAGATTGTATCTTTGGCCACTATCATGGGATTGTTGGTGGATAACAGTGATATCGAAGAGCTTGTGGAAGAGCACAGCCAAGAGATGACCATCGAAGAGCTTATGGGGTAGCAACAAGATGATTACCATATTATGGACAGACCAGAGCAAGTCATTATCCTTCGCCTTAGAACAGGGCACAATCGACTTCGCTCCCACATGTACAACAAATTTAAGATTGGCCAATCAGCCATGTGTACTTGTGGACTGGCACCCGAAACAACAGATCACATCCTTCAAGACTGTCCCAGATTCAACGCTTTCAGGCAAAACCTTTGGCCAAAAGAGACACTTGTGGAGGTCAAACTTTACGGGCCGCTTAGTGAATTACAAAAGACAGTGAAATTCACACTAGAGACGGCTTTGCAGATATAGACAATTTATTTCATGCGAACGAAAGAAGAAGAAGATTAATTAATATGAGAAAAATTGTTTCGCATAACGAGTGTTTCGCTTTACAAGTATTTTTCTGAAACGAATTATGCTCGTTAAGCGAGGTTTCACTGTACTTTAATTCTTTACAACCCACAGACAATGGACACAAGCAAAAAGACTCAATTACTAATCCAGTCATCTCCTTATAAGATGCAATTTTTCGTTGTTTGAAGCCCCGCCCTGTCTGTTGCCGGGGGCCGCAATATAGCCCGCCCTTAAATTGGATCTGGTGGCTTAACGCGGTTTCTTGGACCTTTCCACGGTGATCCTCACCCACATGGTGGCACTTTGTGTCATCGGGTGTTTATCGCTTGTGTTATGTCCTAGTGGGGTAGAAATCTACTACTACTACAATGGACTTAAGTAATAATAATATTTTAGAAGTTCTCATTTGGGATGCAATTTTTTTGTTAAAGCCCCACCCTAGCTTTTGCTGGGGGTCCTGAGTATGTCTGGGCCACTTTTGTGGCCATAACGGTTGAAAGGAGTTTCTGGGACCTCTCCACGATGATCCTCACCCACATGGTGGCACTTTGTGACACCAGGTGTTTATTGCTTGTGTGGTTTCCTGGTGGGGTACAACAAGCAATCAATGGACTTCAGTTACAATGGTACCCCAGTATACGTGCTTCAACTAATCTATTTTTTTTTTAACATTATCTTGTCATCCCCTTGTGGGATGCAATTATTTTTAGTTATTTTGAAGCCCTACACTAGATTTTGCCGAGGGCCCTAAATATGGCCTGACGGCTAAAAGGGGTTTCCGGGATGGGACTTCTTTAGGGGTGATCCTCATCCGCATGGTGGAGCTTTGTGTCACCGGGTGTTTATCGCTTTTGTGATGTACTGGTGAGGTACAACTTACATTCATACACAAAACTGATCCGTGTCACAGTGCGCGGCGCTATATTAGGGGAGGGTGGGGGGTTTAAGTCTCACACTTGCTGTCATCGAGGGTTAAACGCCGGTTATATTCGCATTGCTCTCCAACTTCTAACTTTTTACTGGAAACATGGCGGACCCTAGATGCGAACATACCTTCCTTGCCGTCAAACCAGATGGCGTTCAAGGCGGACTCGTGGTGGAATCATCAGTCGTTTTGACAAGCGTGGTTGCAAGCTGGTGGCTGGCAAATATGTCTGGCCATCCAAGAATCTTCTGCACAACCACTATACTGAGCTGTCCAGCAAGATATTCTTCCCCGGTCTCATGGAATACATGAGCGCAGGCCCTGTTTTTGCGATGGTTTGGGAAGGCACAAATGTCCCGAGCATGGGCAAAAAGATGCTTGGTGCCACAAAACCACGGGAGTCTCCTACTGGGACCATCCAAGGAGACTTTGCTGTTGACGTTGGCCTAAACATTTGCCATGGAAAAAAGATTGCCCTGTGGGTCAACCCCGATTAGGTTGTCAGCTATGGACTTGCCCAGAAAAATTGGATTTATGAATAAAATTACTTTCAGTAAGTGACACCATATTTTCCATGTCTTATTATATACTAGATGTACTCGGCCACGAGTTGCTTTGGCATAGTTTGGCTAAATGGAAAAGAAAGAAAATAGAAATCGCACGTGTCTAATATGGTTACTGTCGCAATCATTGTCTGCGCACATACAGAGATAGTCTTTGACCCCCCCCCCCCCCTCTCCACCCCGATCTCCAGATCCACCTACTACTCTTTCCCTTATCGGAGGTTCTTGGAAAAGAAAGACAATAGAAATCGCACGTGTCTAATATAGTTAATATCGCAATCATTGTCTGCACAGATATAGAGATAGTCTGGTTTGCCGACTTTAGAACACGCAACATATAATTGTGTCTTTCTATCAGTGGTCATTTAAATTGTATTATTAGGACACTAAAAAAAATGGTTATTTGGTTATCACATGCTAAAGATGTTTTTTTTTTTTTTTTAAGAGAAGGGAGTAAAGCTTACCACTGTACTTGTAAATAACCAAGTAAGTCATTGAAAAAAAAAAGAGAATAACGGAGGCAGCGTTAGTAAAATATAAACAAATTAAGAAATGATGAAACTACATGCGAGAAGATAGTTTCTGAATTCACTTCATATGTGATTATTTTGATAGTCTGTGCTGCATACAATGAAGTATTGTGTTCACATAACTCAGGAGAGGCAGGTGGCAGAAGTTTGACCACGGGAGAATGAAACGCCTATGAACTATGTTACAATTATATAAAATGAGATTATGACAGTACATAGTGTATCCAGTTCCTAACTCAAAATAAGTGTGCGTTGGTTTTTAGCACGGATTATCTCTTAAACATTGGCAGTTTGATGTTTTGCCACGTTGCCCTAACTCTATTAGGTTTAAAGCATGTTAACTGTGCGTTTTAAATCAGATTTTTTTTTTCTTCATATACTGCAAATTATTATTATTTTTTTTTTTTTTTTAACTGAACAAGATGTTTGTTTACATTAAAATTATTTTCCTATCAGGACATAATTATTAACACGCTGCTTGCCAAGTTTCAACATTTGATAGCGAACGCTTTCTGACTAATAGAGTTTGACATTTGGGCAGACTTTATTGACGGGACGAAAGTCACAACAGTTTGCGCACTGCCCCCTGTCTGGCCAGCCTGTAGCTGGGAGTTGAGCCCACGCTAGCAACCAGCCTGATGGCCCCATAGCGTGAACTTCGCGTGCTGAACGCTCGTCGGTAAACATCTGACAGATTCAGGCCATTTGGTCCAGCCTGGAGTGTTCTCCTCGCTGCTCGCTCCCTGCAACTCGTGGATTTATTTCAGTTCCAAGTTACTTATCACCAGGTAATCAACTTCTTGTTGTTGTTGTTGTTGTTGTTGTTGTTGTTGTTGTTGTTGTTGTTGCTGTTGTTGTTGTTCTTCTTCTTCTTCTTCTTCTTCTTCTTCTTCTTCTTCTTCTTCTTCTTCTTCTTTCTTTCTTCCTTTTTTCTTCTTCTGCTTCTTCTCTTCTTCTTCTTCTTCTTCTTCTTCTTCTTCTTCTTCTTCTTCTTCTTCTTCTTCTTCTTCTTCTTCTTCTTCTTCTTCTTCGTCTTCTTCATCTTTCTTTCTTTCTTTCTTTCTTTCTTTCTTTCTTTCTTTCTTTCTTTCTTTCTTTCTTTCTTTCTTTCTTTCTTTCTTTCTTTCTTTCTTTCTTTCTTTCTTTCTTTCTTTCTTTCTTTCTTTCTTTCTTTCTTTCTTTCTTCTTCTTCTTCTCTTCTTCTTCTTCTTCTTCTTCTTCTGCTTCTTCTTCTTCGCGTTCACTAGCTGTAAACTGCCGCGGAAAATCTAAATTTTTGGTCTATATTTGGACTTTATTCTTGTTTCCGAACTTGAGTTTTGCGCGCACATCACGTTTTACAGATGTGGTTTGCATGGATTCAGTCTGTTGGTTCCTGGCTTTTCAGGCAGGTGCTCTTTAGCTTTGAAGAAAACATCTCTAATTAACCCACTGTTAACGATGTGCTTGTCTGTATTACGTGTGTGTTATGGGATCAGTATAATGGATATATACATTTTAAGATCAGCTTAAAACTACCAATCAATATGCTGAGCCTATTAATTCTGTGGTTAAAAAGTTACGTTAATAATGTTATGCGCTAAGTCTAGAGTTGCATGGGTGAGGTCTATTGTAGCATTAGTTTATCTATACACCCTTTTCGACGCCTTCAGTCGTACTGTGCGCACGCGCTCACGCACACACACACACGCAGAGAGAGAGAGAGAGAGAGAGAGAGAGAGAGAGAGAGGTTGGGGTGGGGGGGGGGGGGACAAGATGTGTCCGTTTGTGCGCTTCATAAATAGGAATTCCCAGGGACTCTGTTATTTCCTGTCGTCCATCGTTTGCGTGGTCTGCCTCTGGCTCGCTGTCCGCTTGATCTGTACATCACTGCTTGTTGTCATGTTGTATTTGTTGCCATCCCTGTTACATGACAAATCTATTTCACTTGTTTTCTAATGAAATCCAGAGCTGCCGCTACGCATATTTCATTGAATTTCATGGTTTCTGGTCTTTTATCTTCTTGTTATATTAAAATACTTTGTCAGGAATCTCATGTCGGTTGTGTTTTTATTTCTCTGTTTCTGTCATTGTCCATATCTGGCATTGGTAGCACAGGTTTGGCAAGAAGATTGTGACATAGAGTGTTCTTCTGGTCTCTACAGACACTTGTATGTTTCTCAGTGTTGGTGCCCTGTGCCCGATATGTTGGCTTGTTCTGTTAATCTGTCATCGCCCGATATGTTGGCTTGTTCTGTTAATCTGTCATCGCCCGATATGTTGGCTTGTTCTGTTAATCTGTCATCGCCCGATATGTTGGCTTGTTCTGTTAATCTGTCATCGCCCGATATGTTGGCTTGTTCTGTTCATCTGTCATCGATCTGGTCTTCTCATTTGTCAGTTCACTACATAATGTTTTCTAGGAACCTCTTCTTCTTCTTCTTCTGTTGCGTTCATATGAAGATGCATTTGCGTTGTGCCCATTTACAGCATGGCTGCGATATTTGCGCCCGTCTGTAGTTGCTCACGTAAAAGTCTATAGCTGCATGGGTTATGTTAAAAGTTGTAAGAGTTAAGAATATAGGTGCAAGATTTAAATATATAGTTGCTTGAGTTAAGTCTATAACTGAACATGTGAATTCTTTTAGTTAAGGCTTGACATGTCTAGCTGAATTTACATGAAGTCTTTGGCTGAACAGGAGCCTCCGTGGTGTAGCGGTTAGACGCTCGCCTGCCGATCTGAGGGTCATGGGTTCAATTCCGAACGGAGCTCGACTTTGTCAAAAATGACATTGGCTCCCAGGTCGACACAGGCGATTGAGTAAGCCATGTAATGTCCTAGGAAATAAAGGCGGCCGGCATGATATTGATCACATCACCCCTTAGTACCGATTGGTCTATAAAATGCTTCTAACCCTTTATATCCAGTTCGCCTAAACGCGTCAAAAAAAAAAAGGCTCTTAACTTTTTTAAAACTATAGTTAAACGGACCAAGTCTGTGATTCAAAGGGTTAATCCTGTAATTAAATTAGTTCAGTAAATATGTAAATGTGTTCAGAGAATATCCTGAAATATTAAATTTACATTTGAATGTATGAAATCAGGTGGATATGGTATTCTACACTTGATTATATTAAACTGGGTCAAACATTAAAACAGTAACTTTCTAGTAAGATAGGTCATCTATGTATAGTTAAATTGGCAAGCTGATATTTAAATTTGACACATCAAAAGCTTAGTATTTAATCTAATGACTAAAGTGCCTGCGCACGCTCCAGCTTCTTAAAAATTATCAATAAATGTTTTTTGTTTTTGTTTTTGGGATGCTCTCATGTCTGGTCCTAAATCAAGCATGTTTCATGATGTCCATGCACCATGGTGAGATGTTTGTCTAGACGACAGACATTAGGCTTGTTCTCGGCAGACAGCAGGTGGTATTCCATTTAGCAGACATCAGGTGATGTTTCACGAGAGTTTCTTCAAGACTAGTTAGCATCCTCTTTAACCCTTTGCTTGAGTTGAAATTTCTGCTAGCCTTGTGATGAGAGCTTTCTGTAGCTTATTGGGCGTGTCTTTGTTCCTGCTAATTATTCCTTCAACTACATCTCTTTCAAAGGTTCAAAAGTACTTGATTAATTTAATATATATCAAACGTCTTTTGAAACAAACCTCTTTCCTTATCGCTGGTATGTAGTGGATAAAAGACTAGCCCTGGTCATTCATTTCCTGACACATATAAAATCGAACAGCGAGTTTCATCCATCCATCCATTTATAAAAATCTAAGAACAAAATCGACCACGTTTAAACTACTGCTAGCATTATCGGGTATAATTGTGGTCTGGTTTCTTTGGGTCCATTATGTCGGCCAAAAAATTTTAATTGGACCAAAACTAGTGGCTTGGACCGGTACTATAGTACCTAGTGAGGGTTTTCGAGGAGGGGGCTGGTATACACCATACATAACCACACACACACACACACACACACACACACACACACACATACATAGAGAGATAAATGTACATTTACATATATTTTCTTCTTCTTCTCGTTCAGAGGCTGTAAACTACGACAGAAAGTTCTGGTTGTTTTTCCACTTTTGGACTCTAGTCCTCTTCAAGAAGCTTAGTGTAGCGTGTACATCCATTTCACAGGTCTGACTCATTTGCATGCAGACTGTTGGTTCCTTGCCTCTCAGGCAGATGTACTCCGACTTCGAAGGAAGCTACCAATTAGTCGACTCTTACGACATGCTTTAAGGCAGGCAGTGGGTCTATTCCCCCACAGTTTAGCCCCAGAACCCACACAGAGAAATTATATATGTGTGTGTGTGTGTGTGTGTGTGTGTGTATGTGTGTATATGTCTGTGATGTATATGTGCGTATGTGTATGTGTGTGTATGTGTTTGTAAACACATATGTGG